CGATTGGTGATAAAATTTTTTGGAAATAATGAAATAGAGGGGATAACGCGTTTTTTTCAGAGATGATTTTTCAAAAATTTATTTAAAAAAACGTACCAACTAGCCAATGTTTTTTATTAGCTCGCAATTTTCTTCAAAACTACTTCAATGAGGAAAAAAATAAAAATTTGGAATATCTATACATGAGGGGCTAATTGATCGGATCTGTGAATTCGCTAGAAAATTCTATTGGAATTCTATTTGTTTTTTGCTTCGATAAGAAAAAGTCAATAGATTTCGAATTTCTGTTTGAATGTTTCCCTTGTGATTTTTGCTTTAAGAAGGCTTGAGCACCAATTTTCTGAGTTTTTCAAGAAAGACTTTGAAACTCTGAGACTTTCAAAACCAAACAAAATCCAGTGGAAAAAATAGAAAATTTATGCCCAAGCATTCTAATAGGAAAAATCTCAAGAGAAAAATTCGAACAGAAATTCAAATTATATTGACTTTTTCTTAATAGAATTGCAATAGAAATCCTATAGAAACCCATATAATATCTTTAGAATTCCAATAGAATTTTCTGGCGAATTCGCTAGATTTTCTATTCAATTTTTTCATGCGTGTTCAATCATTCAATTTGTCAATTTGATCATTTAATTTATCTCAGTGCTGCAATTGGGAGCTTTAGATGCAATTTTTTTACTAGATATGAAAATTGAGTGGGAAGATGTATCTTATCAGATGTATTTTTTTATTTTCGTGAATAATGAAAAGTCAACAGGTTCTAGGTGTTGCAAAATGTTTGTAACGCGATGACTCATGATATGTGCGTTTCTTCAATTGTTTGTAATTTCTTGATTTTTCACAAATCAATATGTCGAATGTTTCAATATTTCAATGTTTTTTTAAAGCATAAAATCAATTTCTGGAGTAATTTTGAAGATAGATCAAGTTTTTTACAATGAAAAATGATTTTTAAGTCGAAAAATTAATTGCTTATGTATTAATTAGGAAGGCGTTGAAATTTTCAAAAACTGGTCATTTTATCAGATTATTAAAAATTAAATGGTTGCCATATTTAATACATACAATAGAAAAAATATTTTCCTCAAATTCGGAAACGCTCATTTGTTAATTATTCATTTGTTCATTAATTAATCAATTAATCAAATCAATTACTGGACTACTAAATAAATTCAATCAAATTTTCACCAGAATAGAAGTTTTCGGACTGTCAACAAAATGTTAAATTATTTGCTCAACTAATTGAATCAAAGGAAATTAATTATTGATTAATTTGACTAAATTCGGAAATATACACTGAAATCTGTCTGGAGTTGATTTGAATCTTTCTACGACTTACCTGATGAATTATTAATTCAGAATTCTAAATTGTTGACGTGCATAGTTCAAGGATAACCCTTCCCTATTCTCTCTTGCCATTAACCAAAGGTGACGATAATATGTCATTGTTATTCTTATTGCTCTACAGCTCAGTAATTTCCTATTTCTACTGCTGCCACCGATTCTAATGCACCTATTCAGGGATTACGGTAGATTTGTTAATCCCGCAATTCATGTCATCTGGGTTCTCCTCATGGTCGTTGGATTGAGCAGCGCTTATTTCCATGCCACACTCTCGTTAGTAGGTAAATCGAATCATCGAATTCTTCAGTCCCTCCCCCATTCAACGCACGACAAAATTTCATAGGAAAATTTGGCGAATCTAGCGAATTCTAGTGAATTCTAGAAAATTTTGTTGGATTTCTATTGAACTTCTATTGAAAATTCCGGAGTTTCACTGCAATTTTTTTTTATAGAAAGTGTCCAATAGAGATTATCTTATAGAAGAAATCTGTGGAATTTCATCTTTCTGTACAACTTTTTCTATTAAGACATAATATAATATAATATAATATAATATAATGTAGAATAATATAATAGATTTTTTTCATTCTATAGAGACATTATCTATTGAAATTCCTCGAGATGAATTTTCGATTTTTTTCCATTTTATTCTTCTCTCGTCATTAAAAATATCAAACAAAAAACTAAATGAATATTTCCCATTGAAAATTCCTATTGAAAAGAGAAAGAATAAAAAAATAATAGAAATATAATAGAATTTTCTTTCGAATTTCCTATATTTCTCTACGAAATTTTGTCGAACGTATCAAGATTATTGTACACAATGTTCTCCTCGTTTTAATCATGCTCAGGACAACTCCTGGATGAACTTGCGATCCTCTGGGTCTACATGGCTGGGTTCTGCATGTTCTTTCCTCGAAGATACTTCCCTATATTCATGAACAATGATAGGAAGATATTTTCTGCCCTTGCTATGCTGGCTACTGTTATCGCCACTGGATTGGCCCTTGTGCATCCGGCGATCAATGCATTTGCACTCATGTGCCTGGGGATACCAGCATTTGCATATATGTTCATTGAGCTCAAGAGGTAATTATTCAAGGAAACTAGATTTAAGAGAAGCTACAGGAGGAATCAATCAATTAATTAAATTGATTGCTGTATTAATTGATCAATTCAGTCAAATTTTGAACACAAAATAGACGGAAAGTTCAAATTGTTGATGAAATTGTAAATTATTTGCTGAATTCATTGAATTCAAAGGAAGAATACGCTGGAAATATCAAGCATTCAATAAAACTAATTGATTATCATTAATTAATTGGAACAAATTAGTCTCTTAATCAATTGAACTCACGAGATAATTTCCAGAACAAGTCATTAATAAAATTTCTTGCTTCATTAATCACTTAGTTTAACAATTGAAAAAAAATCACTTAATTTAATCCAATTTTTAAGAAAAAAATTGGAAAGTTTAACAGAAAATGCTGCAAAAATCAAGTAAATGATAAACATGGATTGATTAATTAATAAATCAATTAACTGGATTGAACTTCCAATAAAAATAATAAAAAATCAGTTCTAATTGCAATTTCAAATAAACAAAATCAATTTACTAATTTATAGTACAAATATAAATTAATGTAATAAATATAATATTAATATAAATAATTAATATAATATTTATGCATAGAAATTTTTATCCTTGCTCTAGAACGAAATCAGCAAGAGTATATCGACTAGGTGTTCGTTGTGCTGCTATTTGGCTCTTAGCAGTTGCCTGTTGGTTGAACGATCGTTTATTCTGCGACACATGGTTGAGCCTGAATTTCCCATATCTTCATGCACTCTGGCACTTGTTCATCTTCATTGCAAGCTACACAGCAACCGTTCTCTTCGCGTACTTCTCAGTCAAACAAGAGAGACCACAGCAACAGCCAATGCTCAAATACTGGCCCAGGGACAATTTCGAGCTTGGAATACCGTATGTAACTATCAGGAGTTACATGCGTTTGGATAACAACACGAATATCTAGGCGGTGAATCATTCTAGGGATTCATTCGATGCGTTCGCATTGAAAGAATTGTCATATTGTCGTGAGCATTCAGTAGTTCGATTTGGGCAGGATTGCAGGAACATCGAGGAATTCTATCGGATTTCTATTGAAATTTCTATCCGGTTTTATGTGGGTATTTTTTTAAAAGAGAACTGTTCAATGGTAAATATTCGATGAAAAAATCAGTGAAATTCGATTTTTCTGTACAATTTATTCTATCTAGATTCTTTCTGTAGAACGTTTTTTTGCTTATTTTTTTTAAATTTCCTATGGAAAATGTTTCAATAAAAAAATTGTATAGAAAGGCGAAATATAACTGACTTTTTCTATCAAATATTTTCTGGAAAACGTGCAGTCAAGCTGTGAAATTCTTTAACAGAACTAATAGAATTTTTTATAGAAATTCCTCGGTTCAAAATTTCGAAGTTTTTTTGTTTGATTTTATTAATGAAAAGAGGAGGAAGATAGAGTGGGGAGTTGGAAAATCTATGTCGCAAATTTTAATTTTAAATTATTTCTTATGATGTAATATTATTCTTAATAATTATTGAAGCTTGATTATTTTAGAAAGGTGAATGCTGCCGATTTATTTTCGCTTCTAAACGTGACGTTTAACAAATAGTGTCTATTGTATTACTCTATTCTGATGAAATAATGAAACAGCCCAGAGATTTTGTCACATTGAATTTATTTTACTCGTTGCTTCTTGAAATATTTTCAGAAATTTCTATCAGCTATTGATTTTAATTAGTATTTATCTTAGCAATATATTCAGTTACTATTTTATTCGTCATATTTAATGACTTTGGAATTACGAATTGCTCTTGTTTCACTCGTGGAAACCCTGAAATTTTATCAAAATTTAAAAGAAACGCTTTCTCACTCTCGTTCAACCGTTCGACGCATCATCTGTGATATTTTATTACTTAATTGTCACAATTGCTTATTATCATTACATGAATCAGAAGAATCCGAGATTTTCCATCCTCGGGGGAAAGGATTTCCTGACGTGACACAAACATTAAATATTGATGAATGTTAATTTATTCATTAAAAAAAAACGTTTGTTTTTATATTTTAATACACGAATAATACGAATCGTAAGTATAGATTGTAAATGAGAATTCAATAATTGCGCTGAATGAACGCCAAGTCTACAATTGTGATAATAATGAATTTTACAGAAAATTGTACATTAAAATCAGAGGCACTGAGAGCAGTATTTATTGTAAAAATAATTGCAGTTGATGGTTAATTATAGATTTGATTGAATAACTGTATTGATTATGATAAGAGATTCGATATCGACAGCTGTTATATTCGAATAAAAAATGTTATCTTGGATATTTTATCAACAAAGCAAACATTGTTTTTATTCATCATTTGACCCATTTATTTATTTTATTGATTCAAATGGAGAAGTGGGAGACGATGGCATCTGCCTGTGAAAGACGAGATTTGCTAAATTTTTTGGGAATGGAGAAATTTTTGATGCAATTTGCCATTCTCTGTGGAAAGGATTTCCTAACGTGACGCAAACATTGAATATTCTTTATTATTATTATCATTATTATTATTATTATTATTATTATTATTATTATTATTATTAATTTATTTATCCATATATAGCCGATTAGGTTTTTTGCGTAACATTGAATATTCATGAATGTTAATTTATTCTTTAGAAAAATCATTTTTATATTTTAATACACGATTGATACAAATCATAAATATAGATTTGATTGAATATTTGTATTGATTATGATAAGGGATTCGATGTCAACATTTGTTATATTCGAATAAAAACTCTTGGATATTTTATCAACAAAGAAAACGTCCTGTTTTTATTCACCATTTGACCCACTTATTTATTTAACTGATTCGAATGGAGAAGTGGGAGACGTTGCCATCTGCCAGAGAATGCAGAGATCAGGGTTCAGTGGGGGGTGAACGAATTCTGCTTCATCAATGCCACAAAAACATTGAAGATCGTCTCCCTGATCTCTCGAGTGTAAATATAACAATAAATATTGATGAGATCAAAATTATCGTCGGTTTAATCCACGTCTATTGTCTGTATATTTAGAGTTTTCATGTTGAAAATGTCTCTGGATCAGACTGTCTGTGAAGGTGAGTCTGACATAACCAAAAAGTTTGTTTTATTTTCTCTCGAGAAAAGAGAAAATAAACACTTCAACACTTGGAATTTTTGGCAAAATGTAATTAATCGTGTATTTGCAATCAATTGTGGCAGATCTCAAGGCTTTCGAGAGGAGACTCACAGAGGTGATAGCCAGTTTACAGCCATCAACACTGAGATGGAGGAGTGAGTGATGTTGCTGAATTTTTTTAATAACTTTTTTGGGGAATTTTGCTGATTGTGAGTGTTTTTTTAGTTCTACTGGGATTCATCTCGGTGTGCACAGCAGTGGGGGCTTGGCACTGGCTGACAGACCCAAACACTTCAGCTGTCTCCTTTACACAGAGTCTCTATAATCATCCTATATTTGCGTTAGCCAGTATTTTATTAGGTAAAGTACATTTTTTATATTTTGGGGATTATTGTTGTGGAGTGGATTGAGGACTTTTGAGAATTTTTGGGAAAATTTTTGATGGGGTTGCTTTAAAGCTGGAGAGCTCAAGAATTTTCAGATTTTTAGTGATTATTGATGTTTAATCCTCTGAAGAAACGATAATTTTATTGTAATTATTAATTTTATTGGGAAATTTCATCACTCGGGACATTTAATATCTAATATTTTAATGAAATTGTCAATATATGATTTGATTTGACCAGAATATTCAGTATTTTGTGATGAATATTCAATATTTCATTGATATTTCCCAGTAAAAACCTAAAAAATGCAAAACTCTTACCAATGGATTTTCAAAGACTCCAAAAACCTGAAATAACTTCAATAATGAGTGAATCAATTAGCTAAAATGATTCCAGGTAATGAAATTCGTTAGTCGAGAAGTTCGTCGATGTATTCTTCTGAAACTCCCCAATTAAGAGATAATTACACAACTCGTAAAGTCATGAATCCTAATGAAGACTAATGGATAATTAATCCTCCTCATCATTTTCAGTTGTATTATTCCTGCTGGGCGTGCACAGAAGAGTAATAGCCCCGAGTATCATAACCCAGCGAGCAAGAAGTGTTCTAGGTGATTTCAACATGAGTTGCGACGACACAGGAAAGCTAATCCTCAAGCCAACACGACCGCCCCACCCACACGAGACCTGAGATTACCCCTAATATAGATATATTATTTTTCCAATGCAATTAGCCTGCCACTCTGCACTGGTAGGCTCAATTATCCCCAGAATAATGAATAAAACGCCATTTTTTCATGACCCAAGAGACCAGAGTTATTGAATTCGTGGTGCAGGTCCAGAAAATCCATTTTATCATCAACTGAGGCTGCGTCTTCCTCAAAATTCAGCGGAAGAATTGAAAAAAAGAACTGTTAGAGATGGAAAATCCACTCATTTTCATTTCGACAATAACAAGTTACCAAATTGTTCATCTAGATTGAAAGAATCCTCTCATGACGAATGATTAAATCTAGTGACGATGTATTTATTAGGAATAAAAAATTCTGATAAATAACAAGAAATTTGTCAGTTGAAAACATTTATTAATAATTTTTTATGCACAATTGATGCTATAAAGCAAAACTTTACCAATAATTTCTCTTCTCTTAATTCTCGAATCATCTAATTAAATAATTATAATAGAAGAGTTATTAATGATAATATTAATCATTAATGATAATATTATCGCGTCAAAACAAATAACTGTTTTTCTTCGATTACGATTTAATTGAAATAAATTTTGTCGTGTGACGCGTGAAGAATTGATTCAGTCCAAAAACTAAAGGAGCAAATGAAGATGCGATTATTTACAAAGGGAGGGGGGGATTATTAGATTATACCACTAATCTGGTAATTACGGTGGAATCTGGGGGATAAACCTGAAGAGAAATTGACTGATGCATTTTTTTTTATTGAAATCGAGTGATTGAATATGAAAATTGCATCAAAATCAGAAATACGTCGTGTTTATTGATTCTTGTTGCAATTTTCATATGCAACAGTAGAAGAATTCATGCAAAATTCCAGTTATTAGGCAATAATTTTAAATTGCATAAACATGAACAAAATTTTGTCAAAACAATTGTTGAGATAAAACGGGTGAGATGATTTATCAGCCCATGAACAATTAATAATTCTCCGATTGTGGAAATAAACCGACGATGTATTTATTAGGAATAAAAAATTTCTCATAAATAACACAAGAAATTTGTCAGTTGAAAACATTTATTAATAATTTTTTATGCACAATTGATGCTATAAAGCAAAACTTTACCAATAATTTCTCTTCACTTAATTCTCGAATCATCTAATTAAATAATTATAGAAGAGTCATTAATGATAATAATATCGCGTCAAAACAAATGTTTTTCTTCGATTACGATTTAATTGAAATTAATTTTGTCGTGTGGCGCGTGAAGAGTTGATTCAGTCCAAAAATTAAAGGAGCAAATCAAGATGCGATTATTTACAAAGGATTATTAAATTATACCACTAATCTGGTAATTAAGGTGGAATTTGGGGGATAAATCTGAAGAGAAATTGACTGTTGCATGTTTTTTATTGAAATCGAGTGATTGAATATAAAAATTGCATCAAAATCAGAAATACGTCGTGTTTATTGATTCTTGTTGCAATTTTCATATGCAACAGTAGAGGAATTCATGCAAAATTTCAGTTATTAGGCAATAATTTTCAATTGCATAAACCCAAAAATTGTGTCAAAATAATTGTCGAGATAAAACGGGTGCTATGATTTATGAACCTGTGAATAATTCAGAATTCACCGGTTATAAAAATAAATTGTTTCCTTCGAGATATCGACTGACTCATTTACAAATAATATTTCTTCATATTCTGACTGTAACTTCCCTGTCTGCAATAATTAACAACTAATTTCAAAATAGGAAGCTTCATTCGTGTTTCTCATAGACAAAACACATACCCGATTGTTTCACTATTGAAACATCACAGCGTTCTGAGGAAGTTTTTACGGATTTATCGTTGATTCAAGAACTCGAGGATTTGGTGACTCTCGGTGAAGCACTGGAGGTAGATAATGCCTTGCAAAATCCTTAGAATTTTTTCATATTTAACAATTACTCTCGTTCCTTCGTGGTGAATCAATCAATCATTCTCTTGTTTTATTCTTCCTGATTAGCCAGATCAGAAACTAGTGGAGTGAGAAGAGATCACCAGCTGATGGTAGAGGTGCCAGACCACCTGTTACATCTGGCAATTGTGTTAGATCTGGTAAATTCGAGATGTGAGACTTGACTTCTGCTCTGACTGTACAAACTTTCTTCAATTTTTCCTTATAATCCTGGAAAAGACGAAGATTAAATCATTTTTTATTCTTCAATTGTTGTTGAGAATACGGCAATTGTTAATTTAAATTTATTTTGGAAATAAGGAGATGTAGTGTGAATATTTGAACTTAATTCTTCATTTTAAATCGTTAGAAATCATTTTTTTAATTTAAAAAAAATCATAAAAGCCGCATTATAAGGAACTTCCGTCCTTCAATAAGTGAAAAGTTGCAGTTGTTAAACATTCAAATAACTTTCACTATTTATTTATAACAAAGGGCACGAATAAGAGAATTCACTGATAATTTAATTTAGCATTAAATGACGACTGAAGAAGAGAATACGACTGAATGTCGAATATTTATTCTTGAATTACGAAGGAAATAAAAGTAAAAGATTGGAGCAACTTACCTCTAAAGTAGTCTGTGCCTGCTGCAGCAATTGTTTCTGTGCCAAAGTGTAATCCCTCAGCATAGTTAATAATCTCCGTCTGTCCTCCATCTCGGCCTGCAGTCTCCCATTGTAATCAGCGAGCAATGCTGCTGCCTCATTAACAGCGATACTCAGTTGATCAGCCGCAGCACGATCAGCCAAATTAGCCAACAACGATACCTCAGACACCTCTGGAGGTAGTGAAGCAATCCTCTCTCTCACAGCAGCGTCCGACGACGCTGTATTCTCTAAATCCTGGAACGATAATCAAAGATTCACTGACTGATTCCTCAATCCCAGTTTCTGGATGAAACTGGGAGGAGAGCTCAACCAAATGTGGTCTTGGAAGCTGTGCAGAGAGACAGGAGTGTCAAAAATAAATGAATGAATAACTCTGAAAGAGTAATTTCAAAGAATGTTGCAACATGCGTTGAAAAACGTCCAGTAAAAATCGTGTTATTATCTCGATTAATGGATTCAAAATTAGTATTCTTCGTAAATTCTAGGTATTTTATTGCAGCTGATACATAATCCGCGTCATAAATGTCTCTACAAACGGTAATAACCATTAGGGCTTTGATAAGCTCCTCAGTCTCAGGTGGATCGCCAGCTGGTGTTCTTGGGCTCAGTGTAACGTGCAGCTCTTTGGTACCATCAACCTCAATCTCAGTTTCCGATTTTTTTCTCTCCTTTCTGTCCGATTTTTTATCCAATTTTTTGTCGGATTTTTTGTCTGATTTCTTCGGCAACTCCTGCAAATTAAAGATTGGTTTAAAAAATGTTTGATTTATCAATTGAATGAGTTTATTAACGGAGTTGATTAACTGAATCACTCTCTTGACATTTATTCATCTAAAATTTCCAATGAAGGCTTCATTTATTATTAATTGTTCTGGGATCATGAGAAATTACTCTCAATATCCTAGACTGGATCGCAATTTGCTTAGAGAAATGGGAAACTTCATCGTTTGAGGCGGTGAATATTCAATTCTGTTCACAAAATTCTCGCATTGAGAATTACCACATATTTCTAATTTTTTAACAATTCGTCACGAATACTTTGCGTTTCGTATAAAATTATTCTCTATTTGTAGATAAATAGCTCTGAAAATCTGGAAATTCAAACAAATAACTTGAAATTCTGCCTTTTTATCAGAAACTCCTCTTAAAACGAGAAATTTCATACATAACATTCTATTTCATTCGCATTATATCACGAAATTGCTCATTTCCTAAACAATTGCACCTAAAAATTCCATAATCCGCCAGAAATAATGTTCTTTCAGTTGTTCATGCAGCCTTTCATTGTAAAATTCAGCCCTAAATTTCACTCTAGTCCCCAATTTCACCTTCTCAATATCATTTCTTGGTTTCTTCCTGGGTGGTGTTCCAGGCTCTTTAATAGGTTCTGTAGCCGCATCGAAAGCCCCCTTGAAGTCCGCAATTTGTGTTTTATCATAAACCCCCCTCTCCTCCCAAATGACAAGCAGCCTATTCAGCCTCTCCCTGGTCTTCTCATCGAACGTTTTCATGTGTTCAAATGCTCTTGGGAGAACGTTGCCAAATTCCCTGCCAAACTCTGGCCCCTTCTTCTTGCTATTCTGTATCACGTCGTTCGCCAGGTACATGAACATCAGCTTGCGAGTGTCCTTTGCTGAAAAAATAGTACATTCTAGGCTTGGTACCTTATGTAACGCATGAGAGGGGGATGAAGCTGAAGTTAGCGGAATATTCGCCAGAATGATTCAATTTAGGGGATTTTTAAGGGTGCGAGGGTCGACTAATCATATGTGCAAATGTTTTTCAGGTGCGAAGGAATTAATACAAGACTTAAAATCCTTGGGAGATCTCTCATCGAATCTTTTGCTAGTTTCAGCTTCATGAGAGGGGGTAAAATAAATTTTCTGCAATCGTCGATTATTCGCGATTGAGAGAGTGGAATTGATGCATTTTTAATTGATTTTGAAGGTGTTTTTTGGAGTTTGAAATGAGGTTTAATTAATCAAAATCATGTCATCGAGTCAGGAGATATTGACACTCAGAAGATTCATTTTTTTAGTGAAATTTGAGTACAAGAAGAATGAAATGAACTTTTTTGAATCACCTCTTTTAATAAAGGATTTTTTTTTCATTTTTAAAGTTTTTTTTCAGAGCTTAAAATGAGCCTTGATTTATTCAATAATTTTTCAATGAATTTTGCATGTGATGCGAAGAAGAATCAAATGAACCTTTTTTAATTGTTGATAATGCGAGATTGACAGAATGGAATTGGACACTTTTTAATTCATTTTAAAGCTATTTCGTTTTAGTTTAAAATGCGAACGGTTTATCCAAATTATATCATCGAGTCAGGAGATGTCAACACTTTCAGAAGATTAATTTTTTAATGAATTTTTTAGGAGGGGAGAAGAAAACTAAAATGACCTCCTTTTAATCTTCGATAAGTCGAGATCACGAGTGTGAAATTGACCGATTTTTTTTCATAGTTCAAAAGAGCCTTGATTTATTCAAATCGAATCACTGTCAGAAGATATTAATTTATTCTAAATCTCCATTTTCAGATGGACTCCAGTTGCATGCCAATTGAGTCATCTGTTATGATTATCGAGCCCCCTAATTTCCAAGCCTCATACCAATCATGTCTCACTAATTAGAGCATAAGATCACCGTAAAACTCCACATAACCTCGGAATGACCCTTCAATCCCCATTTTAAACCCCCAATTGACAAAAAAAACTCGAAAAAACGTGTAAAAATCGTCTGAACATTTCTCCTAACCTATAAACCCCAAGATGTGGCTTGAAAACTCTTCGGAGGCTCCAAAAAATTAAGGAAAATCGCAGGAAAATGCCTGACAACAAATAACCACTCAGAATAAACCCAAATAATTGTTTATGAACTCGAGACACACGAAAATAGTGAAAAAATACCTTTACACATCTCCCTGAACCAGACCTTGACGATCGTCCCGTGATGTTTTCTGTGGTGTATCAGCCACAAAGACAACGTCTGAATGCTCTGCTGTGATGGATTAAGATCCATAAGTTTCTTAACAAGAGCGTTCTCCGTAAATCCTGCCATAGCTCCGATTGCAATCACAATCGACGACTTCGTCACCAAACTATGGACGACAAAACAAATTTACGGACGAACAACTGTCCCGCTGGTGGTGGGGGGAGACGAGTGCACGTGCACACACACAGGTGGCACACACTAATGCCAAGCGCGTCGTCCAACACTTGTTAAAACAGTTTATTATTGTCTCAAATTGTTGGGAAATTGTCGTGAGACGTGTGGCGAGCGGAAAAACTGCGCACTGCGGGCTCAGGGGGTCGTGATTTTGTTGACAGATGTCGTTGTCATGACGATTCATCCGGTGGCGGAGGAATTTCCAATTTCAAAATTTGTTTCCGATTTCAATTTTTTTTGAATTAACACACGCATGCAACAATTCAATAGAAGAACTTAGCGAATTCGCTGGGAAATTATATTGGAATTCGTGTAATGTCGTGTAATGAGGGTGTGAAGAGTTAATCTAATTATCATTTCTTAAAAAATGCCTTTTTTAGAAATGAAGGTTCCAGCTTTAAATATCGCAGTACAAATCATCATTTTAATTTATCACTGTTATTAGCATTCGTGAACGTGTGAAGATTCCAAATATTGATAAACAATGTTCCCCGTTTCATCGATCATAATATTATGATAAGTTCAAGAAGATGAAAAGATAATAAAGTGGTGAATGACTCTGAGGAATTTCAGGTGTCTTAGCTGTCATACTAACTAGAAATTTTCCTTCGATTTTGGATTTTTCCCGGGGGAAAGTCGACTTTCGACCAAATCGATTTTTTTGAATATTTCATGGTTAAAAAATTTTTGTTCGTGCAAAAATCGCAAGAAAAGAAATTTTCACAAATTTTCTACTACCCCCAAGTACGATTCCGAGGGGGTGTCAATAGACCTTTTCATTCTGAGAGTCACTAGATTTGCGGACACTTTTTTCCCATTGTAATTCCCCTAGGATTTGCGGACACTTTATCGAATTTACATATAAATCATGGTTTTTGAGCGCTCAAGTGTATATCATTGTAAAGTTCAATATTTATCAGAATTTTCCATGGTTTTTTCGGAGATTTTTTCGTTGAATGAACGAAATAAATATTTCCCCTAGATTTCCAAAATGAAAAGGTCTATTTTTTAAGGGATTGAGGGAGTCCGTAGAAACATGCTCCAATATGAATTGTTTGTTTTTTTTTTATTTTTCATGTTGAAAAAAAATGATTTTGTGTGTAATGGCTTTGGAGAAATAAAGATCGATAATAAAGGCACCGTGGTTGAAGTAACAGGTCTCACCCGTCGGTAAAGTATGCACCGTCGTCGCTAAGTCAGATCCACTGCCGTAAATCTACTATTATCAAGTTCACTTTTGGTTTTCGACGTTTTGGAATTTGGGGTTTCTTGTGAGTGACCCTCCTGACCAACGACCATTCTAGTTTATCAAAGGGTTCTGAAAATAGAAAGATAGAAATGAATATAGAAAAATATAGGAATAAAATAGACATAAAAAAATATAAATTATGGAAATTTCAATGTTTCAAAATTATATTCATTAAATAGAGGTTTTTTTTGTCTTTAAATTGTTAATTTAACAATTAACAGTGACTAGATTAGGTAGTTTTCAAAAATGTGTCTGTACCAGAACAGGAACAACAGTTCGATATATCTCGTACGTTAATCTAGACTGATATTCCTATGCACCGAATTAATAGTCTGCGGAAATCATTTACTAGTCTACTGTCTGCATATCACTTATCAATTGATTCGATGTGTCTAGTTTATTGACTAGATTTAATTTGAGAAGTAGAAGTTGAGGGTCCACGATCCCTCGTGTATCCGCGGTAGAAATTACCTTGTTACGTGGGAATTACGTGAAATTACGTGTGGCTAGACACTGCCGGAAATTTAATATTTCCTAACATCACTCGATGATCACATCATTATTTCTTATCTTTTTACACTTCAATAATCTGACTGTATGTGGATGTGACTAAACTATTAATCACAATTTTCATACTCTCTCGACTTTCGTTCCAAACATTTTTTATACAATTTGCTGATAATATCCCATATTAATCGATTAATCTGCATGATTCAGTTCTAGTTTTTCAATCATCGCTTAAGAAATCTTCCAGCATTTTAGACAGTCAGGAATAGTCATCTGTCACAATCAGTTTATCACAAAGTAATCTTTATGATATTTTCCTTTACCACCAATTAATAATAATCATTACCGTCACATCCCGTTATATTATCAATCCTTTATTAGCCTACTCATCGCATTCGAACTTCTGGAACTGACCTTATCCTCGTTTGCGGAATATCCGTCTATTGGGCTCTAGGGAATTTTGGGGGTCTTAGCGGTCACGCGCGAAATTTGATAGAAAAGCCTATCGAATTCGTTAAAAAATTCGATTAAATTTCTATTAAACTTTCTATCAATTTTTGGCTGATTCTATTGACATGTTCAATAGAAGACATTCCATACAAAAAGTTAACAGAGTTAGATTTTTCTATATAACTTATTCTTTTCATATATTTTTTACAGAATTGGCTCGACTCAAATTTTCCAAGTTTTTTTCATTCTATTTTTCTTTTCTTCTCATCAAGAAAATCAAACGAAAAAACTTAGAAAATTTGAGCCGAGGAAATTCTATAGAAAATATCTCCATAGAATAAGTTATACAGAAAAATTGAATTTTATTGACTGTTTCTACTGAATATTCTCTATTGAACATTTTAATAGAATCGGCCAAAAACTAATAGAACAGTTCAATAGAAATTTAATAGAATTTTCTAATGAATTCGATTTTTTATTAATTTTTTTCGTCTGTGGTCATACTAACTAGAAATTTTCTTTTGGGACGACAATACCCAGCCCGATCTATCCGGTTCCAGAGGGACTGGCGCGAATGTTCGTGGATGACGTGGATTCCGGATTATTTCATTTTTCATATTTATTTTTTTCGTTATTGAGACTGAGATAAGGGGGTTAAGGATGAGGTGGGACTGAGAGGGGGGTGAGATATGATTTCGGGGAGAATTTTTGAGGTATAGGATTACCGATATTTTTCGACATAAAAAAGCACTCCTGACTGGCGTTTCGACGACCGGGCCACGGGGATGCTCCGGACATAAATTTTACGACCCCAGCTATGAACGTCGTCCTCCCCGCCTGGCTTCAATGACTCTCATCCGGGGAAAGTAGAAGCGAATTTGGGAATTTTTTAGGGGTCGGGGGGTGCGAATGAACTCGGAATTTTGGTGATTTGGAATGCAAATGTCGGCGTATCGTAAAAGGGAGGATATATTTTGATGGTTTTCACGGACGAAAAGGTTTCATAGAAAAACATGATGAATCGCTAGAAAATTCTGTTGGATTTCTATTGAAATTTCTGGTTTTTATTGTTTTTTTGTTCGGAGTTTTGAGACATTTTTCTGCAATTTAACGATATATTTCTGTAGAAAATTCTGTTGGATTTCTATTGAAATTTCTATGATTTTTTGGATAGTTAGAAATGAATAGAAATGTGTAATGGATTTGTCATTACACATTTTATAGAAAAAATTAAATGAAGTTCTAATTTTCAATACAATTTACTTGATTTTTTAATTAAAACAACTTATTCTACTGTAGCATTTTCTGGAGACATTCCTGGGCTCAAATTGTTAGATTTTTTTTGTTCGGAGTGTGGATAGAATTTTCTAGACGGATTAATTTTGAAATTGAGCTTCAACAGGAGAAAGCGCTGGAAACTTGTGTACAGAATCGAGATGATTCAATAATTTTTTGTTCATTTAAAATCCCTCACTCAGAAAATTCTTCTCTAACATGTCAATCCGCCTAGAACTCTCAACAACTTTGAACCAACGAAGGACCATACTCCAGAGTACTAGAAAATCCTCGAGGTATTCCTTCAACGCACGTGACATTCCTTGGTAATAAGTTGAGTTCTCAAGGACCCTTTGGTCACATTGATGTTCAGATATGCCATGCGGCATTTGAAGGGCGATTCAATCATTTTTCATTGCAAATATGTTAATATTTCGATTTATTTGATAAATGTTATTAATGCAAAGGGTAATGAAATATTTAACAAGAGTTATTGGAGTCACTGGGTTTACTATTATTCATTCTCTTATGGCTGATTATTTCATCGAATAAGTTCATGAGTTTTGTTAAAAAATTTTGGCCAAGATTTCGGGTACCTTTCGGAAATTTTTATCGAGTGAAAGGTTCGCAGGAATTTGAAGAACTGTTTGAATTCAAAATTCACAACTTCATGAGAAAATCAATGAAAATAGTAAATTTTTGTTTATTTATTCCACGAAAATTCATAGAAATCAATAAAATTCAAGTAAAAATATTCTGGAAATCTTACGGGAATTTTCGGGCTGAATTTACAATTATGTGAGAGTTTCGTTGAAATTCCAAGTAATTTCGTCATTGAAAATTCAAAATTTCATGAGAAAATCAATGAGAACTGTGAATTTTTATTTATTTATTTAATGAAAATTAATAGAAGTCTGTAAAATTCAAGTAAAAATATTCTTGAAATTCCACCGGAATTTTTGGGCTGAAATTTCAATCAAGTGACAGTTTCATTAAAATTCACAGTCTCATGAAAGAAATCAAGGGAAACTAAACTTCTATCCAAATCTTCAATAAAAATTAATAAGAATGAACTACAATCCGTTCAATATATTCTTGGATTTCCAATTAATTGAGAATCCCTCGTAATTCGGTGCTGAAAATTCACACATCGATAGAAAACCCTAGAAACTTCAGAAATTTTCGTCTCCTCGCCACTGAAAAATTCGCAATTCCCTCGCATATTCACTGAAATTCGAAATTTCACAATTTTTCCCCCTAAATAAAATTCAATGTCACCCACCCAAACATCACCACTATCTGCTCTCAAAATTTCAATCGTTCCCCTCCAGTGTACCCCACAAAATATAAATTCCACGAAAAGTCCCGATAATTGTCTACAACCGCTCGGTTAATCCTCGCAGCAGTCAATTACCACCCGGAATATCAAGCACCGCCATTAATTGGAGCACAAGTCCACTGCCCCTCCCCAAACACTGCAAATGGGCTTCAACTCATTTAAATCTCGAGTCGTCTCAGAATTATTTCGGTCAGCATCGATTGGCGCCGCAGCCCGTGCAAGAGGGACACAAAGAGGGGATGAGGAATCTTCAGGGACGTCGGGCATCGATGAATATTT